CGCTCGGCCGGCAGCCCCTCCGCCCGCGCCGTTCGCAGCTCCGCCCGCCGCGGGAGCCCTGGCTAGGCGCGCGCGCGCTCGGGCTCGAGCGCTCCCGGGCGGCCGTAGCACCACGTAGCCGCCGCCGCCGCCTTCTTCCACCGCTCCCTGCTCCTCCCGCCGCCTTTCTCTCCGCCCCTTCTCAGGCCAGCCCGGAGCGCCGCCGACCCCCTGGCTGGCGCTGCAGCGGGGTGGTAGAGAGGATCGCAGGCGGAAGGGTGCCCGGGGAGCGCGCCGACTGGGAGCAGCCTGGCCGAGTGACCGGGATTGATGAGCGGCGTGTCCCTCCCCGCCACCAGCAGCAGTTCTGGAGGGACACCGGGGAGAGGGTCGCTCCTCGGAGAGAGGGTTGGGGTGAGTGGGGACCTGCGGGGCCCCTGCCTCCGGACGAGCCGCCCTCCGGGTGTAACCACACTCGCGACCCCTCCTCCACTACCGGCTTGTGTGGCAAGAGCAGGCGCAGTGCACTGAGCAGGAAGGGAAAGTGGTCGTGGACTTCACTGAGGGGGAGAAGGGGTAGTTAGGGTGTTGAGGAAGGAGGAGAAAAGAGCCGCAGGAAATGGGGAGAGAGAATACGGGGGTGGAGGGGCGTTGCAAACGAAAGTCTCCTGAATCCCTGTGTCACTCTAACCCAACCTCCCCACCTGCCGGAGAAACGAGTTTCATCCTAGAAATGGGGACGAGGAAGGAGAGACGACCCGAAAGAGCCCTGACCTGGGATACAACCTTCGCCCTCGGATCCGTCGCAAGTACACAAACCGGGCCAGCAAACGCTCTCCACCACCCGGCAACACCCTCCCGCCTTCACTCAAAGAATAGTATGGAAAGAACGTGACTGCTTCCTAATCCGGGAAGGAATCCCAGAATCCAGAAGAGGTTCCAGGAAGGTCTTCTGGGGAATCCAAATTGGGTTTATAGATCACGCGCCATTAAGTTTTTGACCTCCGGGGAAGGATAGAACGCGTGGCTGGAAATTGTTTTAGAACCCTACCTGAGCAGATGTCCCCATTAGTTTGGTATCCACCCTCCTCCTGGAGCACTTTCATAGGTGCTGGCAAGCGGGTACCAATGTTTCATGGAAGGGGAAGGAAGAACCACTCATCCATGGGAATTTTTTAAGGCTTCCAAAAGCTGGAAAGAGAAGAGATCGGGGAAATTTTCCAACGCCACTCTGTGCAACCGAGTACTGGGCACAGAAATTTGCATGTTTAGTAAACTCCCCAGGTGATACTTAAGTACGCTTGAGTTTGGGAGTCTCTGGCAGAGGGTTTCCCTAGATATACATATCTCACTTTTCTCAGAAACTGGCTAGCTAGTTGACTACCTGCAGTCAAGCTTTGGCGGGCCAATCAGGTACTTTTTCTGCAAAAAAATCACTTTGAGATAGGCCTGGGCTTCAGCAGGATTGAGACTAAATTGAGGTCACAGGTAAGAGCCAGGGTACCCACAAAGGTGGAAGGGCCAGGAGAGGCTACTCAATCAATACCGCAGTAGCTATGACACTGGCTAGCAGTGACTTAAGCCCTTTGGATGAAATAACCCTCTCTCCTTCAAAAGTGCCCTCCACCCACCCAAAATACAAACCATACCACCACCAATCTGGTAGACCTTCAAAAGTAAGGTCATCTTTCAGCAGTGGATTTCCCTATTAACAGGAAGTCACTGACAAGCTTCACCCAAGCCTATTCCTGCTATGTTGTAAATCTTTTATATAAATAGAACAGTTGCTGCAGGAATACTGGAAAGGTTTGTCTTAAGCTGACATGACGTATTTCAGAAAAAGACTAGAAATTAGATCCAATTGATGACTGAGTGGATCCCTAAATGTGATTTATCTTTGAAATAAAAATCAGCAGAGGGCTGGCAATTAGCTCAGTTGGTTAGAGCACTGTCTTGTAATACCAAGGTCACAGGTTCAGATCCGTGTACCAGCCAGCCATCAAAATACAAAAAAAAAAAAAACCCCAATAAAAGTCAACAGAAATATAGAGATGTATCATATACCCCTTCCCCCACCACATGCATAGCCTCCCCATTATCAACATCCCCACCACAGGGGTACATTTCCTACATTTGATGAACCTACATTGACATCCTTATTGCCCAAAGTCCATTGTTCACATCAGGGTTCATTCTTGGTGTTGTACAGCCTGTGGGATTGGACAAATGTGTAGTGTCATGTATCCACCATTATAGTAACACGGAGTATTTTCTCTGCCCTAAAAATCCTCTGTACACTGCCTGTTCATCTCTCTCTCTCCCAGCCTCTGGCAACCATTGATGTTTTTCTGTTTCCACAGTTTTGCCTTTTCCAGATTCCTTCCTCTCTCCCAGCCTCTGGCAACCATTGATGTTTTTCTGTTTCCACAGTTTTGCCTTTTCCAGATTCCTTCTGTCATATAGAAGGAATCATACAGTATAATGCAGTCTTCCTCTCAGTTTTGCTATGAACCTAGAACTTCTCTAAAAAAAAATAAAAGTCCTAAAAAGAAAAATTAACAGAGAAGAGAAAGCTCAGGTAACTCATTGATAATGTGGGGAGGGGGAAAATACCAGTTGAATTCTTATTTGATTTTGTATACCCAAAGTAGGTTCTAGGAGGATTAGTGAGTTAAATATTTTTTAAAAAAAGAAAACAGGAGAAAATATTCATTAAACCTCTAGATAGAAGTATTTCTCAACTCAAAAGCAACAGAAGGAAATAATCAATGGATATGACTGGGTAATATCTTAAAAACTTCTGTGTCAAACTTTTTTTTTTGTCTTTTTGTCTATTTTCGTGACCAGCAACGGATCGCAACCCTCAGTGTCGCGCCCGTACCGGACCAGGACCGGCAACGGGATCACAACCCTCGGTGTTGCCCCCGCTCCTCGCTCAGCCAGTGAGCGGCCGGTCCGCCGGTCCGTATGTGGGATCCGAACCCTCGGCGGGAGCGCCGCCGCGCTTCCCAAGCGGCGCACTGTAGCAGTGCGCCACCGGACTGGCCCCCAAACTTTTTTTTTATTGTAACCTAAACTAGAAAAAAATATTGGCAGCAAATATGAAAAGTAAAAGTCTGAGTATCTGTATTATAAGTAGGGCTCATGCAACTAAAGTAAAATACAGAATCTCTGTAATTGAGTGTAAACAGAAAACAAACCACATAGAAGAAATCGAAAAAGTAGCAAATACTGTATGTGGGGAAAGTTAACTCTAGTATTCAAAGAAATATACTTTGAAACAAATTAATGATAAAGATACAAAGATAATGAGCACTGGTTTGCTCATATGTTGCTGATGTCTTTATGAAAGGACATGATCCATTCGGAAGGCATTTTGGCTGTATGGAGCGGGTCAGAGTGTTCCTACTTTTTGACTCAGCACCACTCTGGCAATCTTGCCAAAGAAATACCGTAACTATACTCAATTCCTTGTAGTCACCTGAACCACAATATTCCTTCCTATTTCTGTGCCTTTGCACATGTCATTCTTGGTCTCTGCCTAGAACACCTTCCTTGTCCCTTATCTGTGAGTCGATTTCTTCAACACTTTTTGTTCAGCTTCTTGCTCCCTTAACACCTCCTCAACAATTCTTCCATTTTGGCACTAGAGATGGCCTGTAATTACTTGTTTACCTGCCTGTCTCCTCCACTCTGCTGGGACTCCGTCAAGGGTGTGGTCCATCTCTTTCAAATCTTAGAATCACCAGTGCCCTGCAAATGTGACAGGTGTTTGATAAATACTTATTAAAGGAATAAATGAATCATTTGCTCAAACTTTTTACAGCTATTAAGTATAATGATTATAAAAAGAGTATAAGGCAATGTGTGAATAAATTATAATGTTAAATTTTAAAGGCATTACATATAGAGTTATCTCCAAGTAAGATTGTTAAGTGAAAAAAAGCAAGGTACAAAACAATATACACAGTAGGCTACCATTTTATGAAAAGTGTGTTGGCAAAAGAATATTTACATATAC